TCCTCTACTCCCCCACCCCACACTACTCCCACCCCGGCCAGCTTTCTTTGTAGGCAGTGGGGGTGCTAACAGCCAGGAGGTCACTCAGCTCCCAGATGAGAGAACGGATACTGCAGGAGGCAGAAGGTGGGATTTCATACTACTGTGACAGTCAACACAAGGTGTCCAGCCTGTTAGAAGCGCAGTCCCAAACTGGGGCCTGTTTTACACTCCCATAGCAGAAACCTCTTTACACCACAGATGCCATCCCATGGATTAAGAACCTTCCACAGTCATCCCAGAGGACCCAGATGGCCTCCCCAATCAGCAAACTGAGTCTGACCTGCCTTCTTACTTTTGAGAAAGCCCAGCATTTGCTTGATTGTTATATGAAAGAAGCCAGCACTACCACTGTGTTCTTCACGGTCCGCAGTCAAGGGAGCTGCTTTGTATGACGTGCCCTGAGCTCACAGCCACATGACCAAGTCCTCATCCACCAAGGCAGATATTTTAACAGCAAAGGCAGCTGGGTACATAATGGTAGTTAGTATATTCATATTGTTCCTCTTCTTTTGCCTGGTTGTCTTCAAATAGTTGGCAGGAAATACGTCTTTTATTACTTCTTTTCCTGTATTATAGTGGGAAACTGGAGTTTTCTAAAAATACACATAACATATAGGCAGCTGAATTTTGTGAAGCTGAGCATATTACAAAGAAGTCAGTAGCTTTAAGCCTAAACTTCCCAAAATTTGTTGCTGATACATCTGGTCTTTCTAATCTGACTACATAATAGATATCCCCTTGGAAATACCTGCTTAGCTTCCATGGGTAAAGGGATAGGCAAGGGGACAAAAGCAGAGAATTCTGGAGCAGAAAGAGGGATGAGGCCTAGACAAGCCCTCCCTGTGGGGTTTGAGCCCTGCAAGAATTATCAAAACCTGGACCTCAGAGTATAGATCAGTGGTAGAACATGTGCCTTAGTGCTTACTGTGTGAGGCTCTGGGTTCAATTCTCCACCCCACCCCCCAAAAAAAACCCTATAGTACAATATCACAACCAAAATATTGATATGACACAGTCAAGACACAGAACATTTTTGTTACCATAAAGATCTCCCATGTTGCCCTTTCAAAGCCACATTCTCTTCCTTCCTGTTTTCACTCCTCCATACTACACCTGGCATTCATTAATCTGTTCTTCATCTCTATAATTTGCCATTTCAAGAATGTTATAGCACATCTCATAATAGCTAAATCCTGGAAACAGCCTGTATGTACATCAACAGATGAATGAATAAAGAAAATGTAGTATTTATACACAATAAACTACTATTATATGTATGTATTGTGTCTAATATGGCACTACTATGCCATAAAGAAGGAAAAACCTGAGTCATTTGTAGAAAGATGAGACTACAATATTAAGTAAAATAAACCAGACACACAAGTTTAAATCTTGCATAGTTTTTCTTATATAAGAAACACAAAATATAAATAAAGACCAAAAAAAGATGAATAATCGGAAATAGAGAGCTAGATCTTTTGCAAAGGGTAAGGGCACCAAAAGATGGAGGGAGGGTGGGGGAGGGAGAAGAAAGGGACATCAAAAGAATTAAGATGTGAGATGTACATGTACCCCATGAGGAACAGAGTCGTGTACTGCAAACATGTACCAATAAAAATAAAAATTTTAAAAAGAATGTTATATAAATGGAATAATACAACGTTTTGGAATTTTTTTCACTGAGCATAATTCTCTGGAAATGCATCCAGTTTGTTTCATGATCCTTTCCTTTTATTCCTGAGTAGACACCATCCTAGATGTGTATCGATACATATAGCCATTTATCTGTTGAAGGACATCTAGATTTGTTTCCAGCCTGAAAGTTCCTCCCTCCTCCCAGGCACCTGTCACGTCCTACTTTCCACTGCTGTGGCAGAAAGTCCTTCAACTGTGGTGCCACCACATGGATTAAGAAATTTACCCCATCATGGTCACCCCCAAAAAGACCCAAATGGCCTCCAAAGTCAGCAAACTGAGTCTGAGCTGCTTTCTTACTACTGAGACAGTCCAGCATTTGCTTAACTGCTACATCAAAAACACCAGTGCTCCTACAAACCAACCAGAAGGCTGGCTGTGTTTTTGGTCTCTAGTCAAGTGCCCTGCCTTACATGACTGCCCTGAGCTCACAGCCATGTGACCAAGTCTTTTCATCCCCCAAGTCAGACTTTGAAACAGGAAAGGCATTTGGGACATGATAGTTGTCATCATATTCATAATTTGTTCCTCCTCCCCCTCCCTCCTCCTCCTCCTCCTTCTTCTTCTACTTCTCCTTTTTCTTAGGGATACTGGGGGTTGGATCCAGGGCTTTATGCATGCTAAGCAATTGCGCTACCACTGAACTCCATCCCCAGCCCTTTTTATTTATTTTTTGTTTTGTTTTGAGACAGAGTCTTGAAAAATTGCCCAGGCTTTGCTCGAACTTGCAATCCTCCTGTTTCAGCCTCCCAAACCACTGGGATTACTGGTGCTAACCATCACACTCAGCTATTGTTCCTTTTCTTAAAACTAGTAGTCCCGAAATGGTAGGCAGAGAATGTATCTTTTATTACTTCTTTTCCCGTATTTTAATGGGAAACTGGGAAACGTTTCCTCAGGGGCAAAAAACAAAACATAAAACAAAAACCTGAAAGCAGACCTAAGGGAGTATAGTCTGAAAACTAAGCTCTGTTCACAGGACCAATCAGAAAGTTTTCAAAATTGGGAGGACCAATCAGAAGATGCCATTCCCAATTCTCCATTTATGTATGTGTTCAATAATCAAAACACACTATTTCTGATCCTTTGTTTACATCTGGCAAGAGGCCCAGAAAGTTTTTGATAAGACAAAGGTCCCAATGACTATTTACATGAAGTAGAGGCCAATCCAGGTATTCTGGATACTAAAGACCTCTTTGTCTTTGTCCTCCAGGCCACTGTAAGCCTTTTCAACAGCCCTTTCTCACCCTGTAGAGCATACTTCTTTTCTGCCTTCAATAAATGTACACTACACCCTTACTGTCCTTTCTGTGTGTCTTGTTCAGTTTTTTTGTTCAGGACAACAAGAAACAGGAAAGAAGCCCCCCTGACACCCTACCTAGTAACATCTCTACACCCAGACTTCTCCCCAAATTCCAGTCCCATATACCTAAACTCTACATCTTAAAACTTCCCCAAAGAAAATTTGCCCTGAATTAAACACACCATCATGCCTCTAAGCACTGCTTCTCTCCCTGGGCTATGTTTTCTGACACAGCCTCCGCAGAGAATGGCAGTCTGGACGGAAGTGAGACGGTTCTGGGCTGCCCAAAGAGGAAGTTGACTCTTGAGACTTTTAATACTTTCCTTGGTTTGGGCACAAGTTGTAGACTCAAGAGATTTGTCAGATACTGACCTCAGAGAGGAAGTCTGACTACTCTCCCTTCTGTCTAGCACCTCTGAGGTCTTTATCTCCCCAGCTAGAAAATAGAGAGGAGTAACTCTACTTTTCTTTTGCACAAAATGACGTCAGATTGGAGAGGGGTCTGCGTGAAGACAGGGTGAAGGGGGCTCAAGTGGCTCAGCAGGAGTTCCCCAAATGCTCTGATGTGTCCTGAGAGTATAAAGAAACCAAATCACTGCTAGCTGAACTTTGGAGTTTTAATCTTTCAAGAACATACTTCCTTGCTGTATTTCTAGTAACTACTGTTTCTGACTTTTCTGAAAACCCCACCAGTCACCCTGATTCTCTTTTCCATAAGAACTGAATCACAAAAATAGAACCATGAGAAACTTAGTTTGACCCTTCTGCCCTCTGAAATGCGCTGGTGGAAAGAGCCTGGGGCAAGCAGGGGGAAAGGGCAGTGCTTTTTAAACTGATTCTTCCATTTTAAGGAAAAACAAACCAAAACACAGAATAAAAAGTGTTTTAGGGCCGGGGATTTAGCTCAGTGGTTCCAGAGCCTGCCTCACAAACGCAAGGACCCGAGTTCAATCCCTGGTACCAAAAAAAAATAAAATAAAAATAAATAAAATTTTAAAAAATGTTTTAAATTAGTCATCCACAAGCTAGGTGTGGTGGCACACGCCTGTAGTACCAGCATTCAGGAGGCTGAGGCAGGAGGATCACCATGAATTTGAGGCAAGCCTGAATTATAGAGTGAGACCCCTGTCTCAAAAAGAAAAAAAAATTAATCATCCATAGGAAGTGGATTTTAGGGAGAAAGAATTCATACTTATCCTATTCCAGTATTCCAGGAAGGAGTTTTTCACCTGCAATCCATGAATGGACTTTACTAGGGTATGTGATCCTCTAGAAATTAGGAGCTGCATGCTTTTGTATCTGTATATTTCTGAGAAGAGAGTCCAAAATTCTAATCAGATTCTCAAAGAAGTCCTTAATTCCAAAAAAGCTTAAAAAATTACTCACTTAGAGGATAAGCTATTAATTAGTTGTGTAACAAATTATCCCACACAGCAATGTGACACAAACATTTGTTATCTCACAGTTTGTGTGAGTCAGGAACTCAGGGTGACTTAGTTGAGTGCTTGGGGCTCTCATGACATTGCAGTCAAGCAGCCGAGCAAACTGGGGCATGGTAGCACACTCCTATAATCCCAGCACTCTGGGAGGTTGAGGCAGAAGGAGCAAAAGTTCAAGCCCAGCCTGGGTAATTTAACAAGACCTTGTTTCCAAAAATTTTAAAAAAGGGTTGAGGGGATGTAGCTCATTGCAAAGCCCCCTGAGTTCAATCCCTGATACTGGAGGAAAAAGAGGGAAAGGAGGGAAAGGGAGGGGAGGGAGGAAGGGGAAGATGATGAGGAGGAAGTAAAAGAGAAGTTGTCGGGCCAGATTTAGCTCAGTGGTTCAGCCGCCTGCCTCCCAAGCACAAGGTCCCGAGTTTGATCCCCGGTACCAAAAAAAATAGAAAGAGAAGTTGTCTATCAAACTTGCTGTCATCTGAGGATTTGACTGGTATTAGTCTGTTTCTATGATGATTCACCTGCAGGCCTCAGTTCTTTGCCACATGGACCTCTCCACAGAGTTCCTGGAGTGTCCTCATATCCTGACAATGGGCTTCCCCCAGAGCAAGTGACTAAAAGAGAAAACAAGGAGGAAATCACAATGCTTTTATGATGTTCTCAGAATCATATACTGTCATTTCTGCCACATACTATGCTATAAATGAGATAGTCCTCTCTGAAGGGCGGGGACTAGGCTCCACTTTTTTTTCTTGCAGTAGTGGGGATGGAACACAGGGCCTCATGTGTACTAGGCAAGAATTGTACCACTGAGCTATGTAACCAGCCCATGAAGTCTGACCTCATGTCCTCTTAAGTGATTCACCTACCACCCAACATGAATGGTCCACTGAAGGAGAAGCAATGTTTACAAGGCAAGATTTTGTTATCCTGTGGTCAGCATCAATGTATACGTCCATTTTCCTGATGTTATAACAAAACATCTGAGGTAGGTTAATGTTATAAAGAAAAGAGATTTGTTTAGCCATCAGTTCTAGAGATTCAAGGGCTTGAAACTGTTACCAGCTATGCTCTGGTGTGAACCCCATGGTAGACGGCAGGAGTGCTTTTGAGAGGGTGAGATCATACCATAAAACAAGATGCCAACAACTCTAGGGTCCTATAATCCCTTCTAAGGACATCTTCCTGATGACCTAAGGACCTTGCACCAGGCTCCACCTCCTAAATGTCCACACTACCTTGAAACATCACCATACTAAGCACCAAGCCTGCAAAACATGCATCCTTGGGAGACACTAAAAGCATATTCAAACCACGGTAATCAGGTAGCCCAAAACCCTCCCACACCAACATTTGGACACAGGTGTTGTTCAGGGCTAAGGCACTGGCACCATCCTTACACCCTCCCTCCAATGCTGCAGGCTTTTCTAGACTCACCCTGTTTGGGCAGTTACTTGGAGAACATCTCAAACGTTACAGTCTTTTCCCATCATTCTTGTGCTAATTACCAAGCCGTTATTTCACCTGGGAAAAATCCATTTCTGGTATATATTTATTGTGCTAATGGACAAAGCATCTGTTATGAATCAAAATACAGACTAGTCAGGCACTTGCAGGGCCACCTTGGTTGGCTTTTCTGATATAATCCTAGCTGATGTGCCTCTGGTACAGATTGCCCTGGAATTGAATTTTAACCTACTAGCAAGTACACAGCATTACACTGTTAATGCCACCATATTTTCAAGTAAATTACAGATATTAAGACAATCACTTTGGCCTGGGAGACAAAAAAACAATCATTTCAAAAGGTGCAGTAGAAAACATGTCAATAGCAGAACATCTGTCCCAGGCTCTGTGACCACTATACTTAATCTGTCTCAACCTTTGTCCGGAAAGGAGACAATTAACGGGACACATGATTGAAATCGGTAAGATTGTTTTGGGGACTCCAAATTCCTAAGCATTCAAGTTAAGAAGGATCCTTATTACTTGACAGAGGTTTAGTATAAGTAATAAGAAATGCTATTCCATTTGGTTCTTTTTGTTTTGTTTTTGTTTTTTAAGACAGCATCTCACTATATAGTTCAGGCTGGCCTCAAACTCATGGCAAACTTCTGCACCACCGTGCTTGGCTCTATGTGGTTCTTATGGATCTGGTTATCTCCAAAGGCAAATCAGGCTGTAAACAAATCATTCATTCTGTGATCAATCAAAAGTCATGAAGTAGCCCAGTGTAGTGGTGCACAACTGTAATCCCAGCACTCTGGAAGGCTGAGGCAGGAGGAGTGCAAGTTTGAGTCCAGCCTTAATGAGACCCTGTTTCAAAACAAAAACTAAAAAGAGCTACAAATGTAGCTCAGTTTGAAAGCCCTGGATTCAAATCACAGCACTGCAAAAAAAAAAAAAAAGTTGTGAAGTAGAAACTTACAAAATATTTTATTTGGCCTGACCAATTTTGTGAAGTTATTGAATATAATTGCCAGTACTTAAAAACCAGCTGTCACCCCATAGAAATCTGGATTTTTTAGCTTAGAAATCAGCACTCAAAGCTGAGGGAGGTGATGCATGCCTATACACTAATCTTAATACTCTGGGAGGCTGAGGCAGAAGGATCATGAGTTCAAGTCCAGACTGGGCAATTTAACAAGACCCTGTCTCAAAATAAAAATTTTTCAAAAGGACTGGGGAATGTAGCTCAGTGAGAAGGCCCTAGAGTCAATCCTCAGTACCATAAAAAGGAAGATGAAAAGAAGGAAGAAAGGCAGAAAAGAAGAAAGGAGGGGAGGAAAGGAGGAAGGGAGGAAGGGAGGGGTGAGGATCTGGCAACACAAGGTCTGTGTTCTCTGCTGAGATGAAGCAGCTGGAATTGAGGAACCACCACATCTGGCAGCAGGTGTTTCTTCTCCAACTTGCTGAAGTCCACACCATGCCCTTTTACTTCCTAACACTGAAGCCCAGGACCAGCTGCCACATTTCATCTCAACTACACTGCTGTATTTCTCACAGCAGAGTTAAGAGGAATGTTAACTATTTCCTACACTGTAAGTAACATTTTAACATCATGGTTCATAGGGTAGAGGTTGAGGTTGGATAGCCCGGTTTTGAATCCTGACACTTTTACTTTCTATTTACATGGATTTGAGCTGATAGGAAAAATTTTTAGATAGCTTAATAGATTGGATGTTAAGGTAGTTGTAGAAGCAAAATAAGTAATGTGTTCTTTTAAGATTTGCTTTTCCCATAACTCTCCTTGTTTAAGGTGAAGGTAATCTGACTCTAACCATTAACGTCATTAACCTAACAAAGTTGCAATGCCAGAGTGAATTTACAATGTATATGTGCCTATCTTGTGTCTGTGACTTGTAAATAGAAACTGGAATTGTATTTACACATCAAAGACCACTGGGGATGAGATAATGGCTAAAAAGGATATAAAAAGGGAAATGCTGAACAAAGGGGCACCTGGATACTAACCAGACTGGTTTCTGGTGGTCCCACCCACTGGTGAGTAGAAGTTTTATTATTTTACCCAAATTCTGTGTCTCCATGTATTTCTTTCCGAGATTTCCGAAACAGAGCAAGTTGCTTAACCTCTTCCAGACTTGGGTCCTTTATCTGCAAGATGACGACAGTGTTGCTGTGAGGATTTAAGTGCTTAAAACAGCATCAAATAAGTGCCTCCGAGGGGCTGCCTGCTCCCCTAGCCCACTTTAGCCTTTCATGTCACCCACCTGGCCTCTTGTAGGCAAGGAGTTTGTGACCTCTGGTCTCAATACTATGTGGCTATTGCTTGATAATGCATTATTAACAAACTAAGCATGTCCAGAAGATACTACTCGCCTTTGAAAATCATTTTATGGAGCACCCTCCACACTAACCACACTTTGAGACATGAACCAAGGTGGATCACAGAACTGAATTTTTGCCCCAGTGCTTCCTTGGGGTAAGGTGAAGACTCTTCATTGAAGGATGCCATGTCTTCTTGACAAGACAAACCACAAAATAGGAACAGATACAACACATACAGCAGTGAAGGCAAAGGACCAAAAATTTCTACAAACCAATAAGAAACAAACAATCAGTCCTACAGAAAAATGAGCAAAGAGATGACCAGAGAATTCACAGAGGAAGGAACAGAAATGGTCTGTAAACTCAATTCCGTAGTAATCTACACAATGAAAGTTATCATAACAAAATGTCATTTTACATACACTATATTGACAAAAATTTTTCAGGCTACCAATACCATGACACCCCTCCACCAAGTACCCTATGTATGGCCAGTCAAGATTGGATTGGATTTATTATTTTATCATTCTGATCTCTTCCTCCATCTTCAAAGCCAACAGCACACCATTTCCAAATCAATCTTTTTGTCCTCTGTGTCAGTCATCACGTCTCCAAATCTGACCCTTTTGTTTTCCTTTCATAAGGATCTTTTTGATTACACTGAACTTATCCACATAATCCAGGATAATCTTCTCACTTCTCAAGATGCTTAAACTAATCACATCTGCAGAATCCCTTTTGCCATGCAAGGTAGCATATTCACAGATTCGGTGGATGAGGACATGGACATGGTATTCGAGGATTTCCCTGCCTGTCATACCAGCCTGACATATTTTTGCAGGCCTTAGTGCTATGCCTCTGTGGCTTGGGGATAAAGTCCCTGCCTTTCGTACTTCTTAGTGGCTGTCTGAATTGGTTTCCCTACCCTGATAGACCCAGATGGCCACAAAGTGGCCAAAAGGTGAACCCCAGGGTGTGGACCGTGGAAGCTGGAATTCCTCAGCTGGAGAATAGGTCCAGAGCTACAAAGACAGTGGCACTGAACAGTTGGGTCTCAAAATTTTCTCAGGGGAGCAACTGATCATTTTAAAACAAATTTTATTACATCATTCTCCTGTGTAAAATCCCTTCATGATTTTCCCCCTGGGCTTTGGAATAAGGGACAAAGTCTTTAAAATGGTCTTAGGAGAAGGTTCCTCAACCTCAGCCCTACTGATGCGTTGAGCTGGATCATTCTTGTTCCTAGAAGCTGTCGTGAGCACTGGTGGATGTTTAGCAAACATGTGCACACACGCCCACACGTACACTTGTGACAACCTTGGCAAATGTCCCTGGAGCACTGAATGGCCCTCAGCTGATAATCCCTGTCTTAGGAGGCCCTGTAAAATCTGGACCTGGACATTTTCCCACCCTGTCCTCTCTCCTTTGCCCACCAGAAGGGCAGCTCTGGTGGAACACAGCTGGTTCCCCTCTCACCTCTGGATTTCCGCAGACATCTCCTCCTGGATGGCTCTTCCCCTCTCTTTTCACCTAAAGAATTCTTTGTTTTTCTGTCAAACATCCCCTGCTCAGGCCCCTTTCACTGCCCCTGTCCTCAAAGCTGGCTGCTGTGGGCTGCAGCAGCAACTCTACCTCTTATCCCCTCCCCATGCCTGCTTTTCTACCACACCCCTCTTCACACCTGCCTTCCACAGATGACACATCTAGGAGGACATGGACTGGGACTGTCTTGCCCTCCCACATTGCCAGGGAGCAGTAGCTACTTACTCTGTAATGTCTCCTGCCTGGCAGACACTGTCTTCCAACCTACTCCTGTCCCAAAACATGAATCAGAGCAGGAAGACAGGTAAATTCCCAAGCGAGGTGTGGGCTGAAGTGTGCCCTTTGTTGTGTCTCGACTGTATTGGCCCCATTAAAGATTAAACAGTAACTCAGCATGTGAGCTGAAAAAGAGTCTCTTCCTGAGGGCAATGACCCAGGGATTCCTAGGGCTCCACATCAGGAATCCTTTGCTCCCAGGCTGTCAAATTATGCCCTCGCCCTGGCGGGGAGTCAGCACCAGGAACTTGGCACAGCCACCAGGTCTCTGAAAGGGAGGAGAAGGCTGTTACAGTCAGCTTAGTCACAGCAGACCATTCACAGTGCTCCCCAGACATCCAGACCCTGAAAAGTTTCCCTCTTTTCCACACAACCTGGGCTGTCTAAATCCAGGTAAAGATCTAACCCACCACAGAAACTCAGCCTCCCTCTCATGAAATGATCAATATATTATCTGATTAAAAAGCTGTAACCCTTTTTCGCAAAGGGTTTGCCGCGAGAGGACAGGTGTAGTGAAAACCACCACTAAATCAAAGCCAACATGGGAAAGGAAAAGACTCATATCAATATCGTCGTCATCCGACACGTGGATTCGGGCAAGTCCACCACTACCGGCCATCTGATCTACAAATGTGGTGGCATCAACAAAAGAACCATTGAAAAATTTGAGAAGAAGGCTGCTGAGATGGGGAAGGGTTCTTTCAAGTACGCCTGAGTCTTGGATAAATTGAAAGCCAAGCGTGAGCGTGGTATCACCATTGACATCTCCCTGTGGAAATTTGAGACCAGCAAGTATTACATGACTAGCACTGATGCTCCAGGACACAGAGACTTTATCAAAAACATGATTACAGGCACATCTTAGGCTGACTGTGCTGTCCTGATTGTTGTTGCTGGTGTTGGTGAATTCGAAGCTGGTATCTCCAAGAATGGGCAGACTTATGAGCATGCCCTTCTGGCTTACACGCTGGGTGTGAAACAACTCATTGTTGGTGTTAACAAAATGGATTCCACTGAGCCACCCTACAGCCAGAAGAGATACGAGGAAATTGTTAAGGAAGTCAGCACCTACATTAAGAAAACTGGCTACAACCCTGACACAGTAGCTTTTGTGCCAATTTCTGGTTGGAATGGTGACAACATGCTGGAGCCAAGTGCTAACATGCCTTGGTTCAAAGGATGGAAGGTCACTCGTAAAGATGACAATGCTAGTGGAACCACACTGCTTGAAGCTTTGGATTGCATCCTGCCACCCACTTGCCTAACTGACAAGCCTTTGTGGCTGCCCCTCCAGGATGTCTACAAAATTGGTGGTATCGGTACAGTCCCTGTGGGCCTAGTGGAGACTGGTGTTCTCAAACCTGGCATGGTGGTCACCTCGCACCGGTCAATGTCACAACTGAAGTAAAGTCTGTTGAAATGCACCACGAGGCTTTGAGTGAAGCTCTTCCTGGTGACAATGTGGGCTTCAACGTCAAGAACATGTCTGTCAAATATGTTCGTCGTGGCAATGTTGCTGGTGACAGCAAAAATGACCCACCAATGGAAGCAGCTGGTTTTACTGCTCAGGTGATTATCCTGAACTATCCAGGCCAGATCAGTGCTGGCTATGCTCCTGTACTGGATTGCCATACAGCTCACATAGCTTGCAAGTTTGCTGAGCTGAAAGAAAAGATTGATCACTGGTCTGGTAAGAAGCTGGAAGATGGCCCCAAATTCTTGAAATCTGGTGATGCTGCCATCCTTGACATGGTTCCAGGCAAACCCATGTGTGTCGAGAGCTTCTCTGACTATCCACCTCTGGGTCATTTTGCTGTTCGCGATATGAGACAGACAGTTACTGTGGGTTTCATCAAAGCAGTGGACAAGAAGGCTGCTGGAGCTGGCAAGGTCACCAAGTCTGCCCAGAAAGCTCAGAAGGCTAAATGAATATCACCCCTAACACCTGCCACCCGAGTCTTAATCAGTGGTGGAAGACCGGTCTCAGAACTGTTTCTCCCAATTGGCCATTTAAGTTTAATAGTAAAAGTTAATGATAACAATGCATTGTAAAACCTTCAGGAGGAAAGGAGAATGTGTTTTGTGGACCATTTGTTTTCTTTTTGTGTGTGACAGTTTTAAGTTATTAGTTTTTAAAATCACTTTTTAATGGAAACAACTTGACCAAAAATCTGTTACAGAATTTTGAGACCCATTAAAACAAAGTTTAATGAGAAAAAAAAAAAAAAAAAAAAAGCTGTAACCAAGACTCTGAAATGGAATCCTCTGGACCATACTGAAAAGACAAAGCCCACCCTCTCAGTGGCAGCAGCCAGAATTTTGCAGGACAGGAAGTCACCGCTAGCTCTTCCCCAGGGTTAGGGTTCAACAAATCCATCCTTGCTCCTCCAGGCTCCCAGACAAGCCTGGTACCTGTGATTCCATGAGCTGGCTTTCCAAACTTTGGTGAAAATGCTGACAAATATATTTCTTATATTATTACTCACTTAACATGTTCCCTTAAATATATATACCTTCCTCCATGACAAAAACAGTTCTTTTCTGATTATGTACCAATGTATCCTCATGGTAAAAAAAATACAAGCAACTCAAAAAAGTGTAAGACAAAAATCACCTGAAATCCTATCGCAGACAGCCACCATCAACATGTTGGTGACTGTCCTTTCCTATACCTCTTTTATCCAAATGCACACATAATGTGATTTTACATACACAAGGCAAGCTTTTTTTCCTTCAAATAAATGATTTAAAAGAAAACATGCCATGAGTATTTTTTTTATTAATTTTTTGGGTACATTTTAGGTACACAATATGATAACATTTATCATTGAGAATCTATACCTTTATATGATATACCTTGATTCTTATTTTTTCCCCATTCCTCTTCCCTCCTATTAACCCCCCCACCCCTCCCTATATACAAAGACTTTGTTTCTATTTTTTCCTTTTCTCATATTTATTCCTTTCCTTTCTTTCCTTTTCCCTACATCTCCCACTTCCCCTTCCCC